CCCCAAAACCCCAAAACCCCAAAACCCCAAAACCCCAAAACCCCAAAACCCCTTCACAGGTAAGAAAGGTTGAAATTTATGACAATTTATTGTGGCAGTAGGACTCTAGTTGTATTTAGGGCCATTAACTCCAAATTTTTTTGTAGTGACTCCTCTCTGAGATGTCTTCTTGAGGTGAACTAACCTGAGCTTGTTGGAGAACTCGGCCTCTTTTGCAAAGTTGATCATTTTCTCTCTGTCTTTAAACTTCTTCTTCCAATCTGGGTTGTGAGGATTTGGCCCTAGACCGCCTAAGGGCTTAGGATCGCTCACTGAGTAGTTCCTTTTGTAGTCGTTGAGGCTGTAAGGCTTGTATTGGATACTGGTGGGATCAGCTGATTTGTTATCCTTCCTCCTCCTAAATTGTTAGCATCAGGCTACCTTGCTTCGATTATTTTATTTAAGGGCCAGATTTTTGACCCCATCCTGGATCTGCTTGACAAGATGTTCTTCAATATCAGCAAAGTTGTCATCCTCATTAAGGTTGTTTATGTCCAATACAAGTTTAACTTTTCCCTTTTGCTTACTGTATGATGTAGAAATACCAAGGGTCATATCTGTATTTGGGAAATCAAAGTCATATCTATTTTGCTGAACCGTCGAGCTTTCTCCTGAGGCCTTTAAAGAGTCCTTCTTCAGTTTTGGGAAATTCGGGAGCGAAGGAATGTTATTATACACATGATTTTTAAAAATATCATTGTAGTTTACTCTTCTGATAGACATCGTATTCTTGTTGCTAATACTCGAAGTTCTTGTAACAGATTTCGACAGCTTTGAAGCAGCATTTTTTAACTCAGAATTAGCACTTTCCGATGTTTCCTGTGTGATCTTCTGCTTGAGGATCTGGAATCTTGAGATATCATTCGTTTTAATGTCTCTATAAGGAAGGAGTTTGACCAAGTCAGTAAATGTAAAGTTTTGAGAGTTAAATAACTTACGCCTCAGTTTGGAGGCTTAGCTCCTGGTTGACTCTTCTCTTATTCCTACGGAGCCTGGAAGTATTACAGCTCATATCATATAACTTTAGGTTGCTGTACCTCGGCTGCGTATTCACCGTGGTCATGTCGCTGGCACCACTTGTCTTAGAATAAGGAGTGATCGTTTTCAAGGGTGTCTTGGAGGTTCTGTTTACCCTAGACATTTTCTAATAAATATTGATAATATTTTCTATTAAGGAAGGGCTGATTGGGGTTTTGGGGTTTTGGGGTTTTGGGGTTTTGGGG